TTTATTCGTCCACCAATTTTAGTTATTATAATTACAAGATTAGTCATATCACTTCCCAGTCAGTGCTGACAATGATTCTTTAGCGCATAGCTATATAAACAATCACTTAATAATTATACTGTATAGTAGATGATTACCCTGCTGGTACTGTACTGTAGCAAGATATATTTTAAATTCTACAGTATAAGGGTTTTCATTGGGCTTTTCAACGTACTCTATGATTCGTGCAAATTGTTTACTTAAACTCCTTTCAAGGGCTGCCATGGTACATAATGCGAACTATACCACTATAGACTATCGTACTGAATTGTTGTTTATTTTTGCCAATTGCATGTGGCTACACAATAGTATCTGTTATTGGTCATGTAAACGCGTATAGAAGATAATGTTATCCCACTAGGAACTCTATAGCAGACTGAATAATATAATCAACAATTACTCTCCAGTGCAGTATGTTATGTACGTAGCGTTGCATTTTTTCTAATACATGTTGCGACTTGTTTGCACATGTTAAAACTCCAATTTACTGTGCATGCATATCTTTATGTTTTCATCATAACTTCGAGAATTAAAATTGACCTTGTTTACGATGTACTATATAGCGTACACTTTAATTGTCCTCCGTTTTGCGTGTTTTGTAATATACTAGATTTTACGAAGTATGAGACGCTATCGCACGATATTGATAACTACTTACGATCCAAATAGCATGATCGAAAACCTTTATATGATGAATTGCTTTTTCTAGGTCGGAATGAATTGATTGCTCGTTATATCAAGTTGAGAACAGGCAAACATAGGTCCAGAAAACAGGTACTTTACAAACGATAGTCAAGAATTATAACTTTAATATTGTTATGTATCGTATGATTTGAATTTAGATCTACCTTGCATCAATGCTTTTAGTTTACTCTGTAAAAATTAAATCTTATGTGTATATACAAAAGGATTTAGTAAAGTTGCATTGTTTGTTGTGCGTTCAATTTAGTATTAAAATGTTAACATCTCAGTTTAAGTAATATATGGATCTGTATATAAATCAACCCTTATTAAAGCAACATTGGATACTATTGCACGATCATCGTCAGCATCGTGTACTATTTTTTATTGCCGTGAAAAATGAGTTGATGCACGTAGGCCTTAGTAAAATGATTTTAACGCTTGCGTTACTGTAATCATACTTATTCATACATTTTTTATACCCACAAATATCTCCTACGATTAGAACTTCTTACTCTTTTAGACCGTAATTTATTTTACAGCTTAAATTACTCACTATTTCAAAGTCTTATACAGTACTGTATAGTATTACCATACCTTTTGTAAATTATCGCTCTTAAGTCACTTTAAAAATTTCATACTTACGTTCTCACTATAACTAAAGATGCAATGTTTACAGAGATGGACAAGATCTTACAGTGCTATTCCGAAAATATTGTAACTAAAAGTTTTTTCTATCTATTTTAACAGGTGTCTAGTCACATACAGGTCTTAGCAAGAAAAAAGGCTAGAGAAATAAAAAATAATTTAAAAACGACGGATGTATGCACTAATAATAAACGAAATATTTTTTTTTCTAGACGTAGAGAGTTTTTAAATCTTTACTATTACTAATTATAATTGATACTATCTAGAATCCATCAAATCGAGAAATTGCTTTGCAAGCTATTGCGACTATGTCGTCAGCACAGATTGTGTCGGCATCAGCTTTGTTTAGTAATTTAGTGTCAACTAAGCCAACGTTATCAACGTCAGGCGCAAAGGCTACAGCACAGCCAGTTAATGCATCTGGCCAACAGCCCATGGAAATTGCTGCACCATCTTCTGAACTTTATCCTAATCAAGTTTCGATGCGTATCTTTTACTAGCTAAAACGAAATGTAGACATACGATTATGTATTATTGTAGTTAAACTAATAACAACGATATATTTATTACGAGATTACTACCTTTACAAAACGGTAGCTACTACATCAAGTACTGGATATGAATTGGGAAATAACGGCAACGCTAATAATCTAAAAGTAAGTCTAGGAATTGTAGACCATTATCATATATGGATATAAAAAGACATATATTACTTAATTAGATGTGGCCTTCTAGAAATTCAAATGACGCTACGAATTTGCGGTATGTATATAATATGTCCTGACTTATAAAGATATATTCATCAATGAGAGAAAAATAACTATCGGGACATAATTGCTGCCATCATTGTTTAATCAAGTATTTCGTTTGTTTGTAATCTGGTAACAGAAATAACCAGAAATTAATGAATATGGAGCCAGTTTGTTCATCTTCGATCAACCGGAAAACCCTTCCAGATTCTAAGGTACTTTAGAAACTGACTTCGTTTACCATTTAATATTAAAAAATAATCCAGCTTTATCCATGTGCGGTTCAGGAAGCGGTCAGATCAGCCATTAACAACGGTGGAGAATCCAACAAGTCTGGAGCAATCACCGGCCATGTACGTAACAGTGTTAGCTATCGTCTTTACAGCTGTACTTTATAATGATACCATTTAATTAAATTGCTTACAACAGAATATAAAGCTGCAAGAATTTTCTGCCTTTCTTACATCGAAAATCGAATCGGAAGTTAGTTGGATATCTCAATTACTACAAGTAATTTCTCTTAATATCAGGATTTACAGTACTCAAAGTAATTGCATTTGATTACAGCCTCGCAAACATCATTTTGTACGTATTGGTCAATCAAACGACTTAAAAAATATAGAGGTAAGTCCCAGTATATCAATGTAGTAAGTAATAAGCCCCTTTACATATTATAGTTTTTGTTATTAACTTATATTATTTTATATACGCACCCTAAGATTTTCTTTAACATACTAGTCAATAGACATCCAACAAATTCTCGATAAATTTCCTGATGGTCAAAACGGATTAAAAGATCTATATTCTAAAGGACCTCCAGATGCGTTCTACCTGGTTAAATTTTGGGTACATTCATTCTCAGTTATCGTGAATCAATTTTGCAAACTTTAAAATAGTTTAAGTCAATATAAAATCAATTATTTGATTAGGGCGATATGAATATAACGATTCCAGAAGAAGGGGCATTTTATGGTGTTTCCTCTTGTTATGAAAGTGAAAAGCAGATGAAGATTCTAATATCATCGAAAGTTTGCTCATTTGGTAAACAAGTAGTTGAAAAAGTTGAGGTATAGCAAACGTAATTAGTGAATTTTTCCACAATTTTTTTAAAATTGTCTTCTTTATTTTAAGATTTTCTGATACGGATATTCAATTTATGTAATTGTATTCTTAGGGTGAACATGGATCATATGAAAATGGAAAATATGTATATCAGGCTACAGATTCCCCTTGGTGCGATTATTTGATAACGTTCATAGGAAAATTACGTAGCCTTCCTGAAAAGTATATGATGAATAGTGTCCTTGAAAATTTTACTGTATTACAGGTAAAATTTCTGCAACACAGATATTTTCTTGTGCAATTTCTCTGTATAATGTTAAAAATCATTTATTCTAGGTTGTAATTAACCAAGAAACGAAAGAGACTTTATTATGCATCGCGTACATTTTTGAAGTATCAAGCGGTGATCATGGTACTCAACATCGTGTTTACCGGCTTGTCATGGGATAATGGAGTAAACGCAACCTTTTCGTTTCTCCTACTAACCCGTAACAATATCGGCTTATGAACTCATTTACAGTATATATTACTGTGATTTTACTTCTTTGTTTATTGTGCATTTTTGTCAAAAAATAATGCCCCGAATACGAGTAAAAAATATTAATTTCTTAACATGCATCTCACTAATACGATTACTGGAACCAACTGGCCAACTTGTTAAGCCGTAAAGTATGCAGTGATTAATATCGACATGTTTCGGTTTATGAACTGCCATGGAAATCACGCCAGTTAAATTAGAGTAATACACGCTTTACTGTAATGACATATTGTGAATTTTTTATACAGTGCAGTGCGGTAAATATTGATAAGCCTTATCGTAGAAAGAATATGATTTTGTTTTGATTTGTTGTTGTACTACAATACGTATATAGTACTCTGTATGAAAAAAAAATTAGCTGCATTTGTGCAATAACACCAGCACATCGTTAGAACTTCGAGATTTCAAAATTACTAAATTAAGGGTTCAAAGTAACTCATCTACATCGTTCAACATTTTTTTGTCCATTCTGACTTATTTCCGGCTTTGTTCCATAAATAAATTTGCTATCTTTTCAGGACCTTCCATTGCTGAGTGCTGATTGACGCACAAGCAGCAAAGTGTATTGTAACGTTATCATACAACCTGGTAAAATATATAAATACGTAACCACCAAATGTCGATTGTACCAGAATTTAACGAGTAATGAATAAAATAAAAAGAAAATACTTCGCGTCTTATCTCATAGCTTTATGTTTGGTGAAAGAGGTACAGGACTGACTTATACAAATTATTTCCATGAAGATATATGAGTATATCTTATTTTAAGTCACCGTACAGAGTACAGTCAAGTTCGATAATCAGTGATTGAAATCTTACTGTAGATTTAGTAGACCATACATTTACAATGACAATTTGAAATTATATCTTTTTACAGGACCAATTTAATAACAATCATCATCTTCAGTAGTTTTCATTAATAATATATTCAATTTTGCTAAAGATTACATACATTTTCTCAATGGGATATCTATGACCTAAATAGTACAGTAATTTACATAATTTAGAAGCATAGCTTTTGTCATCATCACATGTATATATATACCTTTATATTAAAACCACTTCAAAATTCATCATTGTAGAGAAATAAATACAGTACAAAGATGTTACATAGAATATTGTATAAGCAGTTAAAAGTTACATTATATACGTATGCGTATTGCATCCAATCGACAGCATATTATCACATACTGGTACAGTATCTTACGTGTATATCTTTACCATTGATGAGATTATATAAATTTCTACTTTTTATTAAGCTGAAATAATGTAAGGGTTATTATTTCGCATAAGGTTTAGCGCCAATTATTTGTAAACCTACTGGAAATTTAACAAATCTCTACTGATTAAACAGCACCATGTATAACTTTTGGTATGAAAAAGTAAAATATCAACATTTAAAAGATCTCAATTGCATTATTAAATCATTAAAGTTAGATATATCAATCTATCACGTTTCAATCAAATTTTATATTATAAATCAAATAGTACGGTTAACCTTCATAATGTAGATGATATACTCGTCGATTAATGTATGGCTTTGATGCAAAATAGTCACAGATAATCATACAGTAGTACATTCTTCAAAAAAATCTGATATAAATACATGTTGCATAACTCGTAAGCATCTCAAGATATTGTATGTTAAACAAATTATCTAGGTACAGGTAATGATTCTAAAGTTCCGGTAGCCCATTACCACTTTCATTATCAGAATGCTCTAAAGTTTCATAATGTAAAACTAGCTGTCCTCCACCCTTCCAAAAGAAATGCTTTACAGTTCTTAAATCTAGCACCGGATCAATTACCTATAATTAACGCATGAAAACAGCATCAACAAATTAGTGAAGTTATTTTAGGGCACATTCATATAGTTGTACTGCAGTAAGAATATCTAACCTGATCTTGGCATAAAATTCGCAGTCTATTTGCATTTGTGGGAATACCACTAGGTTCGGCACTCTTGGAATGATTCTTATTGTTATCATTTCCTTGGTTCTCTGCTTGGCTTGACTTCTCATTGCTAATAACATGTTCGATAATTTTTTGAATGCTAACATTATCGCTTGCGGTAAATTGATGTCTAGATTAATGCAAAAAATAACAATAAATTATAAATGACACCGTATATTAAATTCTATTTAAAGCTATTACTAATCAAAGCAGTTTTAAATAATTTTAAATAACATAAAAAAAGAGTATTCTTCAATTAACGAATACCATAATATCTTTTAGTGTTACCTTTTGGCAGATTTAGCTGTGCTTATATAAGGTATTAGGTTAAATGTCATCTTGACTAATTCTGGAATTTTATCCTAGGTATTAAATTTGATATTGTAAGCGTACAAAAAATTAAAATCGAACGATATTGCTGTAAAGTTTCAATATACCGCAAAAACTGCATTACTAATCCAACGCGGTAAGGCCTTAACATTTTGAGATTCTTCCTGTTCATACGCTGCATCTCCGCAGCTCATCCTTATAGTCACTCGGAAAGTTTCTCCTTGCTCCGAGATAATTAATGGAGTATGCTTAGGTGCACAGAAATGCTCTTGAATGTCTTTGGTTATCTATTTCCAAACAAAGTTATAAAAATGTAAGAGTTGACTAAAGATTATCAATAAGTAAAACTGTACAATAAAACGAGTAGCAGCGTATCTAAATTTACCTGTGCTCTAGAATTTTGAGAATTGGCATCTGAAGAATAATAAAAAAATCATTAATATTATCATTCACAAATATAATACGATAACCATTGAGATTATATTATCCGCACCTGCTTAACAGTTTACGATGTTAGATACTATGGTATAACTACATGCTCTTTATAATCAGCACTTATCATAAATATACTACATGTCCTCTATAATCAGCAACACATTATAAAATTATGGCAAATAATCACATTTATGTAACGACTAATGTAGTGAATCAATTCTATCATAGTGATTCAAAATTAAATAGCAAACATTGAAAAATTTTTTACCGCTGTCATTCAATGTAATATTATCTTGCAGGTGATATTTTTCAGGGAAATAATTCATTAAAGCCTTTAATGTTACACAGCCTAAATTAACTGTACGAGAAGCAATGATAGAAAAATGTAAAGCGCCTTTAATATATGCTGTTCAACAACAAACATATCTAAAAATGATAACTCATAGGGGTATATCTATGAAATTTATTTACCTTTACAATCGCTAAAATTATCTGAATTTCCTGGTAATAAATCTTTAGCTGATATCCAAGCAGAAAAGCAATCTGACTCCTCTAGTGATATATTCAGCATCTAGAAGAACGGCAAATAGTGATATTGCGTGAATTATTAGAAATGAATACATTATAATTATCATGATAAAAGTTTCACAATACAATACATACACCAGTTTTTACATCAACAGTAAACCAATTAGGTACATAGACTAGCTGTTTACGCTTTTCAATCTCCTTTTCATAATCTATTTCTCCAAGTTCTTCAACTTTACGAGCCTTTTACAAACATAAGTCATAACTCAGTAATGCAAAATAAATTAGCCAACGCTAACTATCATGAGAGTACCAATTTACCTTCAATACATCATATAATGCAACTGAATCATCAGTATCCTTAGTCAGTATATGTCGACGATCGTTCATTACATGATATTTAAATATACCTGAGCTACCTGCATAAACAAAACTCAGCGAGTGAATAAGATCAAACACAATATTCATTTTTCAATTATTTGGCGATACAATCTTTATCTTTGACCAACCTTTAATAGTACAATCAGAAGTCGTTTCTAGGGGTCTTGACGATGCTGACGTCCCATTTTCTGTAATTCTTGACCCCGTAGCATCCTTATCATTAATTGGCTATATAAGAAATAATATGTTGGGTAAACGATTAGAACTCAAATGTAATTAATAATATGCTGCATATTTAATATTATATTGAGAAATTACCCATCTATGAACATCGGAACTTGTAGTTGCAACCCATAATGATTTTGGTTCATCTTGAATTATCATCTGTAAAGTTAAAATTAATTAATAATACTTATACATTATAGGACAATTTGTCTATCAATTGTATCAATAAATTCATAACTACCTTTAAAACAGGATGCTTTTCGGTACAAAATAGTGCTCCTTGAGATTGCCTCATATCCGTGTAAAATACTTTACAATCGTTGCCACCGGAATAAAAGCTGGTGAAATTTTCATCAACGCAAAGAGCCCAAACACCGGCTTCATGATTTTTAAATGTTGTAATACACCTTTGTTGACCTAACGACCATAACTTAACGGAACCATCAGAACTACCAGAAAGACACTATCATATTGGAAAGAACAATATTAATTATGTACCATTGTATACATTAACCTAGTGCGGCAGACTACCTTTGTCCCATCGGCGCTTAACATTACAGTCTTTACATTATCGGTATGACCAATTAGCTTCATCATTCTACCATTTTTACGAGGATCTCTAATATCCCATACCCTTAATGCCTGAATTTGTAAATAAATATATTGTTAACATTATCAATCGCCTAATGCCTAGTTTACTGACATAATTTTCAAAGTTATCATTAGTAATTTTTTATAGAGTAATTTTCAACTTTAATGTTTTCATATTATAATGAATCTTCTACTGATTTGATTGTTATTATCTGATAATATTATACCCTTTCAGTAGATCCAGTTACTACAACGGTTCCTCCTGCGTCCATAGCAATACTATATACTGAGTTTTTCTGCCCATTTAAAGGCTTGGCTAAAAAATTACATATAAAGATCGTAAGTGAGTCTCTCTAGGTGAATAATGGCTCTTAAGAAAATATCATATATTTAGTTAATGTGAGGGTACTTTACAGACTGATGTAATCAATAAAAAACACGTGAGAATAACATAAAGTTAAATCATATAATAATGTGGTCAGTCCTAATACTCTGCTATGATAGAATAATTATATATTGCTGACTTTGTAATGATTTTCTCTTTCAATTATCTATGACATTAATATACTTACTTTTTAATACATTATTTGACGGCGTTAAAGCTACTAAAGTAGTTACATCCCATAAATATATTTGTTTATCGAAGCCTGATGATGCGAATAAGTCTCTTTGCTTAGAATAAGCCAAAGCGCGCACATAGTCGCGATGAGTGTAGAGAGTTGATTGGCAACAGCCACGAACAGCATCCCACACCTTGACTGTGGTATCAGATGAACCTGAAATAACTATAAGATAGGAAAGAGATGATAAGTATAACATGCTATCCATTCGATTCGAGTATAAAAGGTAGTAAATATTTAGTTAGTAAATATTATTGTTGTTTTCGAAAGTTATAACAATTTTTGCTACAATATTAATTCAGACATTATCCATACTTGTTTTCCCGTTGTGGCATAGTACCAGATCATTTACCCAATCTGAATGATGCTCCATGGATCTGATATATGTTCCCTGGGTAGTAAGAAAAATGAAATCCTTGTTATGCTTATTTCTATTTCTTATTATCTATCAATAGATTACATTGCAATCAGTATCGTAAATACGGTTAAAAGAAGTGGATGTGCTATACGATATTGCAGTGTAGCGAGAATAGCTATTTCATTAGCAGGTTCAATTACTGTTGACAACTTAGAATGCAAAGAAATAATAGGGTCAATGTTGTTGAAGGTCAGCAAAACTAGATTGGGTAAAGGAATATAGCGATCGAATAATAAGACTATTACACAATAATAATAATAATTTTAATCAATTCCTATTATGTAAATTTAGCTGTTAATATCTTCAGCGACCTTAGCATATAACTTATGTTCTACACCTCAAGTTGATGGAGGTATGTATATAATTAGGGCAAAGTTATCTTGCGAACATGCCAAGATCGATTTTGTACAAAATTTGATAGAAATAATACATAGTGCCTACGAGTGTTTTAATCTTTGTGTACATGAAACTCATTTAAAAAGTAGTTCAAAGTATTAGCTTTGATAAGCAGTGGATAGAAATGATCTATCCACTTAATGTAACATTTCAACTTTATACTATTCTTTCCATATTCGACTAATTTAAAAGGTAAATTCAAAGTACTAGCTTTGATATTAAGTAATAGATGAAAATAATCTATACTTTACTGTAATATTATATTCCATTTTCGTACTATTCTTTCAATGTTCGAGTAATTAAAAAGCCTCCTCAAATTATTGCCTTGATAAGCAAAGGATTGCAATAATTTCTCCCCTTTTTATAATTCATCAACTTTTACATTATACTTTCTATAGTTGACCAATTTAAAAATAGGCTGCAAATATTAACTTTGATAATAAGCAATGGATAGGAATAATCTATCCACTTGTTCTAACTTATCAACTCTTATATTATTCTTTCCATATTGGACTAAATTAAATTGTCTATTCAATGTATTGGCTTTGATAAGTAATGGACAGAAGCAATAATGTATTTCTCTATTCTAACATGATATTCCACTATTGTATTCTTCTTTCAATATTCGACTAATTTGAAAAGGATGCTTGAACTATTGCCTTAGATAAGCAATGGATTGAACTAGTTTATCCCCTTATTATAACTAATTAACTCTTTTTATTACTCTTGCGCTATTCGATCAATTTTAAAAATAGACTCAAAAGTATTAGCTTTGATAAGTCATGAGTTGAAATAACAATTTATTGCTTTGGTATCACTTATCAACTCTACTATTATTCTTCCATAGTTGACGAATTTAAAAGTACGTCTACTCCAATTACAGCATATTATACGCGTCTCGACAGAGATATATAGTATTACCCTTAAATTACTCGTATGCGAATTGATAGAGTAATCATGTACTGCTTGATTACTCTATTCGTAGTACTTACTCTTGTATTATTACAAAAACTGATTACCACTCAGAAATGGGATACTATGAAAGGAAGGTATTGATGGACACGGATAAAAAGAGATGGGGAAACTATTTCATACTATAGTGTTGAAAAACATTTACTTGCAATGACGCAATAATAGCTGTCGATCCTTGTATACCACTGGTATGTTGTTATTGAGGACTAGATTGTCGCCATCGGAAGGATTAATACGAGTATCGTTATTGTATGATGGCAAGTAACGGATTAAAAACGTCTTTGAACCTTGTAAGTGGGTTCATTTATTTCTTGAACAAAACATGATATTAACAAACATACGAGTCTACTGTAAGATTGTACGGGGGGGTAGGCATTGGTAGAAGACGAAGCAGCGGTCGATTCTGAAAGGCTTGATAATATGTAGTAGTCCACCTATCAACGATAGACTTATCTAGTGGAAAACTGCTACTATGATAAAGCTAGTATGACTATTTATAAGTGGAAAAAGGGGTAATAAAGTATGTTTTCAGTCGCACCTAAGCGATAAATTATGATTGCCTGAATGAAGGAAAAAGTGAATGCAGATACAATGATTGAAATGGTGATCCATGCGTGGCTTAATACTCCCAACTAGTATGGAATGACATTGTATTGACGTCTGCCTCTTCTATCCTAATACTATCGCTATCCCATTGTGTACCCTATTAGTCTAGATGAACGATCCTATCGGAAAGAATAGATGGATCGATTGATAGATGATGATTGAAATCAATCAATCCATGTCTAGTGCAGTCATTGAGAGCAGATCGCCCCAAAAAGATTGGTTGAAGATACCAATTTGTCGTTGTGTATAAAGATGAAAATAGCCTACTGTAAAACAAGCCATTCCTGCAAGCTAATGGGTCGATTTTAGCCCTTTTCAAAGTTGGTAGTATCCTATTGTCACTATTTGCAAAGTAAAGTAATGCATAGCAGGACATGGTTGATCGTTGTTATCGACACCTTGTCGCCATGATCCAAGTTGCAAGTTGTCCGCCATGGAGAGACACCCCCTAGCGTATCGCATCAACAAGGTTGCAAGGATACTTGGTTCAACCTGTCTCTCTCTCTACGATTATGATATGATAGCACTGGAATGAAGCCACGATCACTCTCTGTATGGACTGTCTTGCATCATGCAATTGATACTATCGCCATCTTTGTTGGCCCTAATTGGCATTTTCTAGAGTAGAAAAGAAAGCAAAACACCAACTTACCTCATCATTGGAGACGTTCCAACATCGAATAATTGAATCCCTACAAGCTGTGTAGAGGTAATTATTATTTTGATCAATCTGTAGTGCGTTGATACCGGAACGATGACGCCTTTCCGATTCATCACGAATGGTAAAGGTCAAAATAGTTTTAACTTTGTGGTTGTTGGTGTATCCACGGCTGGAATTATAATGATTACTGGCCATATTTCTTCATTTTAATCGCCTCTCCTGTTTACTCCCCAACAATTGGACAAGAACGAAGGTTGCGCTCGCCTACAAAGCGCTGCCTTCCAACCATCCATCCGTCCCACGCGCCTGCCTACTACGGTAGTGCCTGGTCTCCACTCCTGGTCAGTGTATCGTGGAGCAGATTGAGCCCGGTGTAATCCACTGCATCATCGAATGTACCGTCATGGCATACTGTACGACTTGGACAAGTCCACCGTACGGTACAGTACCGTACAGTACAATAGCCATCGTACTACTGTACTATGTACTGTAGTAAGAGACTGTAGACTGGAAAAACAAGCCACACTATACAGTACAGTTCTTCTATTGAAAGTAGTGTTCTGTTGGGACCATAAGGTGAAGCTGCGGAACTGGATGATTTGCTTCCTTTTGTGACGGCAGTGGGGCAGTACAGTACTTTTACTCTCTGGCTACAGTATTCGTACTGTAACTTGTGTATTGTAGTACTGTAATAATCTACAGTACTGTACAGTCAGGTACAGTACTTTTACTCCCTGACTACAGTATTCGTACTGTAACTCTTGCAACTCTTGTACTGTAACTCTTGTAACTCTTCTTACTCCCTGACTACAGTACAGTATTCGTACTATAATTCGTGTATTGTAGTACTGTAATCGACAGTCCAGTACAGTACTGTATGTACTGTACTTTTACTGCCTGACTACAGTATTTAAACTGTAATTCCTGTATTGTAGTACTGTACACTGTACCGTACAGTACTGTACTGTACTGTAATCTGCAGTCCGGTACAGTACTTTTACTCCCTGACTACAGTATTCGTACTGTAATTCACTGTCAGATCACGATCAGGGACTACTGTACAGTACAGTACTCGACTCATGAGTGGATTGACTCACTTCTCAAGTCACACTACAACTGTCCGTCACAGAGAAATGACTGAGGAACTACGGTACAGTACTGTACAGTATAAACTGACAGTGAAAGGTCTAGACAGTGTACTGTACTGTACTGTACAGTACAAAGAAAATGCGCCATCCTACAGTACAGTACAGTATACTGTATGACTTTTGCGGACTGAGGCTGCAAGTTACTGTTCGTCCGTCCAGGCGTAGCGATCCATCTGTCGACACAACAGTCTACAGCACAGTACTGTATAGAAATTGGCCATTGACAGAGACATGACACCGTTCAGTACACTGCAGTACAGTACTGTATGTTGCATTAGTACAGTACAATACCACGGACTACTGTACAGTACTGTACTGTACTGTACGTGCAATGTAAAGAGACTGTACAGTGTACTGTACTGTACTGTACATTGTCGAGTGTACGCACTACGCAGTATCATACTGTATCATACTGTACTGTACAGTATGATATGATAGAGCATGGTTTGAATCGAACCTTTCTCAGGTCTATCAGTATCCATGAGAGATTGAGTGAACTGATATACAGTACATTGTACAGTAGACTGTACTCTACAGTGTGCAGTACTGTACTATTTCCAAGGGAACATCGCAACAGACCTGCAGTGGATAATACTCACTCTACTCACACTAGGCCTTGTTAACACAGTCCAATCGTGTACAGTGTACAGTACAGTATACAGTACAGTATACAGTACAGTACTGTACAGTTAGACAGTAAACCGAACATACTGTACAGTACTGTCGATAGACTGACCAACTCATTGAGTGAACTGATGTACAGTACATTGTACAGTAGACTGTACTCTACAGTGTGCAGTACTGTACTATTTCCAAGGGAACAACGCAACAGACCTGCAGTGGATAAAACTCACTCTACTCACCCTAGGCCTTGTTAACGCAGTCCAATCGTGTACAGTGTACAGTACAGTACAGTATACAGTACAGTACTGTACAGTTGGACAGTAAACTGAACATACTGTACTGTCGATAGACTGACCAACTCTGGAAAAGGACGGACTGCTTCAACGGTGTGCTGTCGACGCCGTTTCTCCTCCAACTTCTCCGCAGCTGGCTAGTCCTGTTGCTCATCTCTTTTTCTACCTTCAAAACATTACTGGTAGGTTATTCAACTTGTTGTCTTTTTAATAAATAAAACCACGTAGCGCTGTCCAATAAACTACTGACTGTAATGACGTATGATATGGAATCAGCAACCCTCATGTGTACAACATAGCCAAGTCAATGTAGCGCGCACCACGCCATGTTTACCCTGTTGATGACTGTTCATCATGAACGTCTGCAGCAGTCTTCCAATAGTTTGCTCAGCAAACGCATTCCAATTCGATCCTTCTAAGGCGATAGTGGTTCATGACGTTATCCCTTATAAGTAGCTTGTATCATACGTATCTATCCAATGAATCGATTCATGTTCATTGCGATCATTATTTTACACTCACTAGCGTTAACTTCGATCATTTTCAACTAAACAAACGACGACAATAGCGTATCAATTAAAAACAATCCATGCTAATCAACTGTAGACAAGCTATCGTAATGTACAGCTACAAAAGCCATCCATAACATTTTGCTATACATTAATGCCAATATCATCAATTCTTTCAATTTTAGATCCAATACAATGAGGCGGGCTATCGTATTACCTCCGCCTCAATTTAGGCAGGTATTTTTATCCAAATTTTTTGGTGGCATGATGTGGTTTTGGATGATGTGGCGATGTAAACATGATTGGAGAGATACTTTGGTGAGTTGATCCTTACTAATGTATATACATAAGTTAATATCGACTGATATATGGAAATGGATAATTGTACTACATCATTGTATCGAGCGTAATCCTGAATTTCAGAAATTGGACAGAGTCATTCACTTGCTAACCTTATCGTTCAATTTGTACAATTTACTACCATCAACCTATTTACTTTGCTATGCTATGAATAGGACTCGATCCTAAAAGTTTAAATAATTCTATTATAGGGATTGGAACATCATTGGTCACTTGAAGTATATGAAAAGAGGCACAAACATAGTGAATAATATACAGTAAATGTTCTCCTAACGCATGCCGTCCTAAATATTAGTTACCAATTGTAAGCAATCTTTGATCATTTCAAGTACGCATAGCAATCAGCTGGTGAATCATCCTACCAGTTACACTTTTCTTGTTTACATGTCAAATTCGTTTTGCTACTGAAGCAACTAATGATAACACCATGTTACTATATTCGATAATAGCCTAAATTACAATTTTGCTGTTATGACTTTGGTCAACGTTCAAGAAAGCAACCTGTCAAATTGCTCTCTTCCGTAATACAGTACTATACTATCCTGGAAGAGAAAGACAATTTTTCGGGGATATTATCTCTGTGTTGTACAGTGTGCATGCGTGTCTCTATGTCGCTAAAACTCTGTTATACAATCTACGTAAAAACAATTTGGTTCAAAATAAAGTAAAGCTTGCTCTAATTTTCAGCGATAAGATGAAAACATTGGATATCCAGTAATTGGTTCGTACTTTTTCAGAATAGCTCGGTACCCTGGTCATAAATGTAACTATGAAAGCCATGATAGCTCATCTGATACTTTATTTATCATTTTACTCATGCTCTCTAAAAAATTTTAACCAAACCCTTTGCGATAAGATGAAAACATACGATATCAAGTAATTGTTCATACTTTTCACAATAACTAGGTACCGCGGTCATTGACGTAAATATGAAAGCTATGATAGCAAATCTTATACTTTATTTATCATTATTCATGCTTTCTAAAATTTCAACAAAGAGTTAAAAAGAAACTCGATTAAGGCTACAAAATTTGAGTCAATCAATATAGAAATAATCTTCAAAAAATTCACCGACCAAATAATTATAAATTTGCTATCCTACATTATTTCCCAAAAACCTCACTGGGGTATGTACGCCGTAAATACAGCATTGAAATGCAGTCCGCCATGAAATATAGAATCTTATATTCGAGAAATTTAAATTTTTCGATAGTATTACACAAATCATTAAAGTATATCGATACAAGACTGGGTTTATAATACAGTAAATTTATACAACATCCCTTACAATGATGTTAACAAAGTGAAGGAAATCGAACAATATAGTAGTATTCGTTATATGTTTAATTTACTATGAAATAGGTGCAATACTATGATCTAAATAGAGCTAAAACGATTTCGGTAGGACTAGCATGAATAAAATATTTCAGCGACCCCATTTAATGTTGTGTCCTGTTACTTATCAGTTTTCGTTACTATATCGGAATAATCCTTCAGCGTATCCTTATCAAGATGAGTATTAGTAAACTTGAATTGGCGAGACCTTTTCGATTGCCTAGGATTTTTGCGCGGTGGTGCCTTTACATAACAAAAAAGAAGATATAGCTTTACACTAGACTATATTGAGTTAAAATGCGTAGCAATTATCGTACATTTAAAATTAAAAATCATACATTAAACTGTCACCAATTACCAGACTAGTATTTAAATACAAAATTGATAGTATACACATTGGTCAAGTGTTTTCATAGAAAAGATAACTTCAGTACAAGGTAAGATGCTACGACAAAAGTTGACACCCTCAGCACAAAACTAACATCGGCAGTTGAAAATTATCCCATCGATCACTTACTTTTCTTTTGGTGCGACCTGAATCTTCCATGACAGTTATTCCAGCTAAATAAATTCGATAAATTAGAGGATACTCGCAATTACTCTCAACACTGTAAGAATGTCATGCTAATCAAGAGTAATCTGCTATCGCGATTACGCATTGCTACATTACCCTTTTTGAGGTACACTTCGATATCGATTTCAGATACATCTACACTAACGCTATACCACAATTGTTTAAATTCTACAGAAAGTAGAAATGTAAACCATTTCGCGTTACTTAACAGCAAATCTGATTTTTATCAATGCAAACTCTGACTACCTTCGGATACGTCAAACTTATTCTTGATATCATTGAAGTATATGACTTGTTTTTTATCATTCGGTCTGGTAAGGATAGTAACCGAGTCATCTAGATTCTTTATGGTACAAATATCAATTGGTATTTCTATGAGAAGTAGCTTCGTAATACCCGTTATAAAATGGGCACAGTCGAATCTATATACGTATTTATTATTAAGCACCTTCTACGCATACTTATGAAAGATCAAAAGTTATAATTCTGTACTATCGAACTTTAGAATTGAATAAAAAGAGTAACCTTTATTATGTTTTCAGAGTTGGGCAAACTTTCCTTCACATCATCAATATAAACGCCACCTAAGCCATTCTCATAACGTTTCTTTAAAAATCGATAGAGCTGTTTCTTACTCTTGATATCGAATTTTGGCTAAAAGTATAACAAAGATAAAACTGATGCATTACGTTTGATTTCAATTAACATCATCTAATATACAACTTGAAATACTGTAGTAACTATCCGATCGTTAATGCAGTACCAATACCATGTCACACAATTTAAAGCTACTAACTATTCTTAACTAACTAGCAACAAGACAATGATAGCCAATAAAGATTTCATGCTTTGTAATACCTTGAATTTGAATTTACCATCTTGAATACTTATCTTCTCATTATTTACTAAAGCCTAAATAGATGGTAGGTATTTGTCATGTTAGGCATAAGCAGTCTAGTAATATTACAAATATTACTCAGACAATTACAAAGCAGCATCAATGCTTACAAATTGATCTGCTACTGAAATATTTCACCATCAATATCAAAATTATGTAGCATATGATGCTACAATAATACCAACAGTTATAGCATAACATTTGTAATATTTGTAGTTGTGTGGTAAGCTTACATGCTTTGCGAGCCAATCTTTGTCGGTAGATTCAATATCGGTAGTCTGAGTTCGATCAAGTAATTCATCAAGAGACAGTGGAGAATTTTCACCATATTGGTAGCGTTCCTATAGAGGCAACGCAAAAAAGTAAGCGTATTAGCGAAAAGAAGCCCACTACTAACATTCCTCTCGGTATACATCATAAACTCTACTTACTTTCATGTAATTAACAATCTTATTTAATACCCCAAATCTACTCCGCGATCGTCCAGTAGTTAGCTTATAATTATATGATTTACTTCCTAGAAAGTAACAAGTCAGGTAAAGATTTTACAAAGTATTCACTTAATACTTGAAGTATGAATAGTAAATATCCAGTGTAATAACATGCATTGTAATTAATGACTCTCTGTCGGAGTGTCGGTGAAGCAGTAAATCGTTTACAGTCTATGACTAGCTTCCACGACAGAAAACGAAAAGCAATCTACAGTCTTGGACAGGATAATTGTCACTCACTGCTTCAATTTACTGTATCAATGATTAACAATTCATCCATTTATTATACTTTTGTAGGTAAAGCTACGGAAAAATCTTGTTTATTTGTTAGTGATTATGTTAAACAGGATGAAGGATTGATATATCTATAAATTTGAAAGTGCCTTAAGTTCAGTAGGAGACTATAATTGTAAGACTCTTTTTTTAAAGTCATCCTGCTAAGTTCCTATACCACTAGTGCGAGTGTTCTCCTATCTATTAGAGTAGTTACTGTAACAAATTAATGCATATTTTGATTACGATGGCGCAGTGACCTTCAAAGTAGTCATCTTTCTGCCAATCACATATATACTGTACGAGTATCTATCATGCTCAATTCTTTAGCAGATTACAGCGTTAGGACTAGGAGATCGATTTATAGAAATAACATGCCCTCTAATCTAATCCATGCTAGCGCATCCCTGTAGTAGTTACAATTACAATAAATCCATACTAATTTAGCCATAGCATCCATTGACAGCCTTTCGTCGATAATTTAATACATTACTGTATGGTCGTGAGCAATATTGGTACCTGATGTTGCAGGAGTTGAAGTAAATGTTTTAACTGATTTCTCGGGCTTGAATTTAGTAACCGGTTGAGATTTCCTTTTCTCCACACTTGGCTGAGCCAATTGGCGGTTAATAAATTTTTGACGTTCTTTAACTAATGCCGGATCCATTGGAGTTATTTCTTGTTCAATGAGACGTAATATAAGAAAATGAAGGTAAAAGGAACTAGAGAATGAATGATAATACTGGAAGGGTTAAAATATTACTGTAAACTACTGAATCATTATCCCTATTGAAGTACTGGCAACGATCAAATTTGGCCAATATTGGTACTGCGTTCGAACAAGCAATCGCTAAAAGAGGATGCAGGCATTCAGTGTGTAATGTTCAGGTCCGGTGATGGACGTACTTCTGTCCGCGTTTTCTCTCTTTAGAACTCTTTTAGAGGTCCATAAAAAATATTGATCAAGATTCTCTTCAAGAAGAAGCCCATGCCTTGAATGACAAAAAGAGCTCAGTCCTGTTGTTTCATATATATTGAGTACACTATGAACAGAATGACTGCTTTCATACAGTATATACAGTACTGTGTCAGACAGTATTTAAAACTATCGTCTAGCCCAGCTGGCAAAGCCTTTTACTGTACAGTATGTGATAGAAAGACCGACATGATACAGTAGAGTTGAATACACTAACACGAGCAATAGGGTTCCAGGTTGAAAGTGCAAATCCAAATTTTCCAAATTGATCATTGCAGCAATAATACATACTACAACTTCAACTCATTTATGGAATTAAGTAGAGAGAAATGATGCTACTGTAAGGTATCATGCAGTGTACAAAGGCGTTTCTTTTCAAGTGAATCTAGTTTTAGCGTAGCTGAACTCTGTAAACAGTCCATTTGACTACAACTTGAACTCGTTTATGGAATCAAGTAGAGAGAGACGATGATACTAGAAGGTATCATGCAGTGTACAAAAGCGTTTCTTTTTAAGGGAATCTAGTTTTAGCGTAGCTGAACACTGTAAATAGTCCATTTTATACAATATAATATCATTAATGGTCGTCAATATTGCACTGACTTATCATAAAGTCGAAATTCTTCTACAATCATAGGCTTGTATATATACCACTATTAAGAACACTAATGTATTACCGTGTATTCGAAGAATGGACTAAGAAATAAAAATCGTCAAAATATCGATTTGTAGAATATATAGAGTATTAACGATAAGCACAAGTGATCGAATATTACGGCATTAATTATTATAATTATACACGCATTGTATACGCGTATAGTATATCGAGAATTATACAGCAGTTATTTATTATACAGTATAATGTACGTATATTGTATAAATTAACGTCCGCATATATACTGAATAATGGCTTATTTCCATCGGTGTGTTACATTTTAAATCTATAAATATATAAAATCCAATCTTACCGCAGTAGAACCTGAATTTGTCATGAATATCGTGTAGATTTGTAATAAATTGTAAATTTCTCTACGATGGCAGTGTTACAAATAACCAACTGGGCACAGTACAGCATATTAGAAAGATAAGGAATAAATCATCAAAATATTGACGGGAATATCCAGGGGTTAACATACATGTGTGGCTAAATTGTTAAAACTATTTATAGCTCTTCAACTATAATTTTCAATAGCTCCTTATTTAAATCTTCACTGCATAACCTATTACTTTCTGTATTTATTTTTTATAAATACAGAATTGATGTACAGTATGCGTATGTTACGTTATGATATACGAGCACATAACAACTATACGTATTGCACACTATGCACAGATGTGTAGTGTAGGGGCTAGGAAAAATAGCCGCATAAGTACATTTAAATATGCATATAGCCTGCTTATAGCAAAGTATACCAGTGTGTGTCCGCATGCTTATTTCACATCGAGCTATTTTGCACATATGATTGCGGTGTCTATAGTACATTGGCAACATTAAAAATATAGATATTAACAATTTATTTGAAAAAGGCCTTTATTACCGCCTTATTGATCATCGAGAGAAATCATAACCCCACTTAATTATATATTTAACAATTATTTATCTCAACCGCATGTTACGTTTTACACATATAAAAATAAGTATATTGACCAATTTACAATAGGTGCTATAAAAGGTGGATGAGTGAGCATTATGAATGCATGTGGGACTAACGCTCATGGCACATTGTATTAGGAAAGTATTACATTATGCCATACCAAACGATAATTACAGCACAGTAATATCTTGTGTACGTATATACGTATATACGTATACAAAATATATTTATTGTGCAGCATATCATAATATTGGTGTAATGGGACGCTGATAATATAATTATAATTAATATATCAAATATCTAGATGTTTATAATGATGATGTGTAAGGTATAAAATAGAATATTATATTATGAAAAACATAGCAAGAAAATAAAAAGTTAGTATCGTAGAAACGTGAGAATGCACATATAAAATAGTAGCAGTGTACATTAGCATATCTACCAATGCTATTAGCAATGTACATCTTAGTATAATTAATAGCAAAAGAATATCCCTCAAGGCCTTTAATATACAGTAAAATACCTTAGATACGTACGTATTCAAGCTGACACAGCATAATCGATCATAATGTTGTATCAAATGTATCAGAATAACTTTTATACCAGCTATGCATATGCAAAGGAACAACGAATAACCAACGATTTATCGGGATAAGCTCAATAACCAATTTGATAAAGCCACCCATTGTAGCATAATAGTCATTTAAGAGCAATACATAACATCATGCAGCGATAAAATGGCGAAAGTCGATTATTGGAAATCGTAATTAATTCAGCAATATTTGTATGACATATTTTCTTATACTATTGAAGGAACATTTTTTAATTACACTTTTAGTACTACGGTATACAGTATAGTAAAACCTTTTATATCGTTGCGATAGTAATTTTTAATAATAAAGCAAAAATCATTATCTACAAGTTGAATAGATGGAATGTATAACTGTAGGAAAGACGAGTACATGATATTATTGACATTCTATGGAATAAATCCCGTATCCAGCTTACTTCGCTATCTTTAATATAGCTAAGAGATGAGCATTTGGGGAGATAGAAAGAACGTATAATCGAGAGTGTTATTACGAAAGACCAGACAACCTTCTCTGATTCTTGTTACGATTCACAAAAGGAGAATTTTGGCTATCCTTTAAGGGTGATCTTGGAATATCAGTACCATTGGCAAGTTTAGGATAGAGAATTTTTCCTTTCATCATTTTATCAACACCAATATTTTCATTCTGAATTTGCTTCTTTCTTGGCTTTTTCTTTTTCTTTCCTTCAGTATTTTCACCTGCTTGCTGATTGCTTGCAGGACATGAATTATTACTGTCTCGGGATGCTATAACCTCCTGTTTATCTTTTGACTGCTTATTATCATCCATTTTACTCGTATCAAGGTGTAACGTTGCCAGTTTGGGTAGTACATCTTCACCTAATGATAAAGCGCCATCATCCACTTTTTCTTGGCCACTTACTGACTCTGTTAACTCTGCACGTTGAGCAAGGTTATCATCTTGTGTATCATTACCTGACGTTAGAGATGTATCAGTTGCTTTTTGCTGCATAACATTATCCTCGATAGGCTTATGATACGATTCCTCCTGTTGGCACTGTTCGATCTCACTGTCGGAGATGGTAAATTTGATTGCTTGACACTCGTTATCCAATTGACTAATCCGCTGACTAGCAACATAAACTGGAGTTCTAGCGAAGCGCATCGTCGGCGATCGTGGATCATCGAAGGATTCTAACTTATGAACAGGAGTCCGAGTAACGTTGATCGAAGGTGATCGTGGATCATCTATGCATGCCACCTTTTGAACTGGTGTTCGAGTAAAATTGGAAGAAGGCGATCGAGGATCATCGCCAAGCTGACTACTGACATTAGAAGGTGACGATGGCACTGAAGTCTCTTTACCCACTTGCGATCCCATGGTACGCGTCTATGACGATTAAACGAATAAAAGAAAATAAGAATTGGCTAATTTTATTCTAACACAAGAGAAGAGGGATTCCTTGACTTAATCTAACTTGTTTTACTGGCTAAATTGCTGAATGAAACTGCTATCTGACAAGGAAGTTTGGAATTAATATCTGCTCATGTTGTCATTTGTAAACAGTTTAAAATTGAATGTTACCCGTATGAGTGAAAGTTAAAAAGTGACGCTAGCAGTCTCGAATCTGTGATTGGCTGAAATTGTATTTTAAATAACTGTCATAGAGAACTGCCGTACTGTACAGTACAATCATTACAATACGTACTGTACTGTTACAGTACTGTACACTGTAATGTACTGTTTTGTACAGTGCACAGTCGGTTCTGGTGCTACAATGTATTGTACTGTAGAAAAAACTTCTGATTGTACTGCGTGTGGACAGGATAAGGCCAAAGATTCCGTGACAGCTGTACAGTAGTGTACAGTACTGTACAGTGCACTTCTACAGTACGGTGTACTCTACTGTACAGTACTGTACACTGTACACTGTAAGCCAAAGATTCCGCAACTGCTGTCCTGTACAGTGCACTTCCACAATACAATGTATTGTAGAAGTACTGTACAGTGTACAGTACACTGTACTGTAGTCAAGGGTCATCGTCTTACAGTATGAAGACTGTAGTGTACAGTACTGTGTACTGTAGTTGCTTGCCACAATCCTGCTACTCGGAATCGACAATGTAGGGACTAATGCACATAACAGCCCATCCGCTAATATACTCTAGTATCACTTCAGGAGAATATCAAATTTCCCTACTTAATTAACCTTAATCGGATTCGCAGCCAGGGAAACGTGTTGAATGCAGCGAGCAGCCTCGCCACTGCAAACACCTTGCAGAGGAAAACCTTCAAGCTTGGCATTCTTCATTCCTTGCAATCGCCTTCTCAGCATCTAAATTATCATCAAGTAACAAGTAAGAAATGTAATTGGGTGCAATTCGAGCTCGAAGATAACTATAACAACTCATTTATCATACGTGCAGTAGAATCGTGATCAACGCAGGTTACATCATGTCTCAGCTGGGAACAAAAATTAGTGCAGCGATGCTGTTGGTCAACAAGAATTGGACTGAGCTATCACTCAATCAGGTAAAGCAATCGTTCGCTGAGATGATCAACTTTATTCCATGCGCATGCTGAATACGTATAGAAGACTCCGCTAGTGTATAAAGCAATAAACGTAAAATAAGCAATAGAATAGCCAACTTTATTTTTGCACCTACCTGCGGAGACCAATGCTGTGCAAATAGTTCTCATATTCGGGCATTGCTCAATTTTGCTTAATAAGTTCATCAGTCGACTATATCGTCGATCAATCTTCTACTTCCAGCTATTTGACACCTAACTATAACTATTAACATCATGTTAGGTGTTTATTACCCTGCTACTAATCCATTTTGTATTTGTGATTAGTTAAATGACGCCTTCGATAAAATACACCAGACACTGGATGATGTCAAGGAAGAGAAATCTAATGTGTCAGCGGCCATTAACATTGTCAATAGCATCATAGAAAAGCATATGAGATGCCTTTATCGCTGCTTTAGCAGGAAACCGATTGATATTGAAAGTGTTGCTTTTTGTTTACAATTGCTAACTTCCATGGTTGATGTCAATACTATTACAGCACGTGAGGTCTCTTCCAACTTTAATTTTTCTTACAAACCATTCACCAATTTAGCACGCCGGCATTATGAGGTAATGATAATATAAACCAATTATACTTTGCAATAATATCCAGAAAACCTTAATCAAGTCCATAAGCACGATATAGACCACCCAAATTAAACGTAAACAGATTTAGTAAACTTTGCAACTACAAGAATTTCTCTTCTACTATTAATACCAACCATGATCAAAATTCATAACATCAGAGTAAACGAATGACCAACTACCATGTGCAGAATAGTCTTGAAGTATCCTTGCTAGTAACTTAGATAGTATCGACTCAATAAAATAAAATATTTACTTAACACAATCCTTACTGCAGTAATAAACCATAATTAATAAAAGTAGTTGTTTGTAGATCTAATATAGAAATGACAACCAGTACTGTACTATGGACTACAAGTAGAAGACCTTCTAGCAGTCCTTGCCAGTACATAAGACATGCACAATTGCACATAGCGATACATTTTAGTTGTATGCATTGTCATAAATAAAACTTCTTCTTATCATTCACAAAAGTAAAGTAAGATTGATAGCATAAATACATGAATTTTTTATACTATGATAATACAGAAGAAAGATAGCCCTCGATACCATTACATCAAGTTCGCGTTAGCAATTCTACGATGTGGAGATTTGGAAGTTATCACACAGTCTCTGAAACTAAAAGGTCAGGTCTAACAGTCAATTCGATTATACTATTTTCGAACTACCGCAACTATCGGCATTCTTGGAACTAATAAAGTTACTTCCATAATCATTTTGGTAGACTTTTTTCAAGTCATTATCAAAAATCTCACCGACGATCCTCCTGAATTAATTTTAAATGTTTTAACGACATTTCTTGATAGGGTATGAAATATTAAGTGTATTCTATCCTACGCCAGTTATGGCAGGCAATTGATCAAAACCTTTGATTGCCATTTTATTAATTTTAAAGCACTCTGAACTAATAAACTACGTTACACAGGTGATAAACAATGCTGAACTCCCTAAGAAGATCAAAGTGTTATTTTTTAATAGCTACAATTTAAGTCAGTTTGCTAGCCTTTACAGTAATACACAAAGTATCCCAAAGAGTAATCCAACATTACAATCAAATTCCAATTTCGACAAGCTAATACGGAAGTACCAATCGGATGATTCAAACAGAAATGAAGACACAATTTCTATCCGCGTGCTAATACACACTTTCCTTTGTTATATATGCTGTTCTGTTAAGCATGGAGTTTGTTTCGCGAGTAAATCTATTACCGAAAATAAAAAAAGGTTGGTCCCTTTATTGATCTATCACATAAAACTTTTACAATACCTTTTAGAGATGTCAACTACGAGTACTATCATCCATGTATATACAGTATCTTTACGGAATATATTTTTAATCACTATCTTATCTATGCATTTATATCATTCAGGTCGATGACAACTACCAATAATCCTATTCTTCTGAAATTTTTACAAAATATCAACAAAATGAATGATGATACCCTCGTACAAAACTTAATATGTCGGATTGCTGCAAATTGCCATGATGTAGCGTTTTCCTACGTGCAAAATTTACCTATAGCGATAGAACCGACAGCTTCTAATTGGGTACCAAACATGACATTGCTATGCAGAGTATGTACATACATACTGTAACGCTTTTCATCAATCACATTTTGAAAATTTGTACCATTTACACTCTATCGACATAAATTAGCATTTAGTAATACTATATAATCAATATTTTAAATCTAACAATCCTTGTATGCAGCTTCTTACCTTATTACCTAAGCCTCCCGCGGAGCTATTGCCTACGAATTGTAATACCCAAAACATCGCTGATACAATTTTACCTTACATAATTCCAGCTATTGTAAGTCGTTCGACTTTGAGTCGTATTTTGCAGGTAAGAGTTTTTCTCAAAATTACCTGATAAACGCTTTATAACCTGGGTTTTCAAAGTCCTGACTTCAATAACCAAATACGCGTATATTCTATTTACCAGAATCCGTCCCACCTAACACAACTTACTGGATTAAATATTCTACTCATACTGCTTCAACGAACTATCGATTTTGTCAATATGCAAAGACAAATCATCGGTAACTCTAACGATGGCATCTTAAATGTTACACAAGCATCACTTTTCGCTCATCTACCCGATATCAAAACAATAATTAAGATGAAGTCACTACTATCAGGTACCATTTACTCAACGTCTTGTCTCTCTGTTGCTAAATATCATTGTAATAACTGTATACCGTTGATCCCTTATTCGAAATATTCAAAGTTGAAATGGATTTAATATATTTTTAAAAGATTCCGGTGAAGTACTTGATGTAGTTAAATTACGCTTCGTCCAAGTAATGAGAAAGTATCAAGAATTATCGCCTACAATATTTCAAATGGAAAGTGGTAGATTCGATGTCAGCAATATGTTATTGCAGACTAGAGAGTCCACAAACGAATCACTAGAACTCGAACTCATTCAATTGCTATCTAATGTTCCTATTGATAGCTTTAAATGGCTGCAGGTAAATCTCATTTAAATTGTGTAAGTTGCATACTATTTTCTAAGATATTTTTATTTTCTATATGAAATATAGACCAAGTCATCTAGCAGCTCACCTTTCAGAATATTGCTTTCCATATATCAAAATACAGCACGTAATCAGACACGAAAATTGACACTTTCATTAATTCGTAAGGTATTACCTTATATAATTAATGTCCGCTACATTATCAAATAGACAATACTAATCTCAATTACTTTAAAAGCAAATTTGATGCATAATTATGCACTTTTAATTTTTCTACATGTACAGATTTTAGCCAATACTGGACTATTTGAGAAAAATGAGCCGGAAATTGATTTATGGATAGAATGCTTGAGAGATCATAGTGTACACGATATAGCATTCATAAATGATTGGTTAGATGAAACGATAAGGCAATTATTGCAAAACCCTTACGATGCGATAGGTGTTCTAACTTCCGAAAACGCAAAGGCAGCGACGTCCCTAAATAAAGGAGAAGGCCCTAGGTAATTGACAGAAAAATCTATGTAATTTTTACTATTTCAAATATTTCATTCATATTGCTGGCCCTACCTTTTTTAAACTTTTGTAATTTATCCTTTAGTCTTCCATGCAGTCCTCTTGCAAGTGCAAGCTTACTATGTTACTCCAGATATATGGAAAGTGACAAAACCGAAAATTACCCAATCCTTAGTAAGTTATAACGCCAGATTGTTATAAAAATTTTATCAAATTACTGCATTGTTCTTCGTTTTTGAATATTTTCCGTTAAAATTAAAGGAAACTTGGCACAATATTTGGGTAGGATTTTTAAAGGTATCAGTCGCTATCGGTGTGACGTACTTGGAATTGTTCATAAATTAGTTCTAAAAGTGATCGATAAAGAAATCTTGTCTTCTAGGTAGGCGCAAGTATAAATGTAATTAATTATCAGACTTCATTTTCCATCATATATTCACTGAATGGTAAAATTGATATCATTCATTATCGCTCTGTTTTAATTGCCCATGGCATATAGCAAATCGTTAATCTTTAATATGTGGAAGCTACAACATACAAGCATAGTCCTATATCATGGTAATCTTGACAAATTTCTCTCCGGATTCTGGCCTAGTGACAAAATTGAACAGGTGAATTCTGCTTCAACTAAAATCGTTATATTATGGACTCTAAAGTTTATTTATTTATATAGGCTGTAAATCCTACCATCAAAGACAGCCTAAAACTTGCTATGAATCGAATAAAAATCAAAGAAAGTATGAGAACCTGAACTTCATTAGCACTATCTTTAATATTTTGTGGATCTGTATTAAATTTTGCATCATATTGGTGTTTCATTGTAGATGAATCAAGATCCATAAAAAAAGAATTATATGAATTACTAGCGCCTCTAAATTCTAATTCAATTTATAGCTCATTGGGAGATATTGTCAATTTCTGCAAAGACTTTCTAAAAAATGATTATGAAGTTGTTATCAACATTGTAAGGCGTCGATCCTTAATTATCATAGGTATGTCGATGATTACTGCTGAAATGCTATAATTGTAGTAGATGTAATATTTGAAATATATTATAATTTTTTCGTAGGAAAACCTATTGGAGAAGAATGTCTAAAAGCATTACTAAATCAGTATACAATATCAGATCTACTTGAAGAATTGTTTTCATTATTAATTGACTCCGTCATTGTAGCTAACAGCGAAAATAGCAGTTACATAATACCATTATCGAAACGTAAAGCTGAAAATAACGACCTCGAGGGAACCTCAGTATCACCTAGGAAATTAAAGAAGCTTATTACTAGCGACTCAGAACCCTCTTATCAGCACACTGATATTAAGTTGGAACCTTATATTTCTACAATTGTGCTTAATTCTATCAAAACATCCATGATTTCTTCGGATAATGTCGACGTACTATTAAGAGAGTTTTTGTACTATGTAGCTATGGTCATGTCAAGCTTTCATATAGAAAAAGCGGTGAGTTAGTAATATCTTCGAGGAAAATAGCCTAGTAACAATTAAACTATCGTAACTTTTATTATTTCATAGGTATCTGATGAAGTAGAACTTATAGTTATCCCAGCGTTCGAAGAATTTTTTAATAAAATTTGCAATTGGATTGATAAAGTTAAAGCAGTTGATAATAATGCCGAGTCCCTAATATTGAACATCGCCAGTGTAATATTGCATAACTGTTTGATCGATCTCTGTTTTGAACTCAATTACAGCCGTAAAGCATTATTGAAGACCTGGCTGCTCGGTTATGCCAGAGTTGTATTTACAACTTATACAAAATTAAATCATGGCAATTCTAAGGAAGAACTTAAAGATCGTTTTATAATGAAGTATATTTCTAAATTGGGCTGTAACTACGATCTACTTGTGCACGAGCAATCCCAATTAGATGACTACAGTAAGTCAAGCGAACAACATTGCAAGCAACCATTATGATAATTATTTTATATATTATTTTGTAACCATACTGCAACTATCTTTTTGATAGAGAATCCTGACAACATCGATGTAGATATATGGTTGCGTTTGGTTCGTGAATTTTGTTCTAGCTTCGATGCAAAAAGCAACTTAAAAATTTTGAATATCGTTCTTCAATCAAAGTTGCCTCAGGATGACTTTAGATGCACCATTTCGTCAGTTCTTCCACATATACTACGAAATGATACCCTAATTAGTCAGATGCCGGAAAATCTTTGGTTTAACCTAGTGTCATCGACAATAAATGAAGATTTCGGATCTTTAGAAACAGCTATAATAGACGTTATGCTTCAACACGTTAACATACGTCCACTACCATTAAGCACTGTAAATTATTGCTTAAAAAATAGCGGTATATTACATCTAAGTGTCCTGACGGCATTGATTTTAGATAGTCCTTTGCATGTGATGATCTTTGAAAATCGAATATTATCAAGCAAATCCATTCCTCTTGAGTCTGAAACCTCCGAATTTTTAAAGCTTTTGGTTCATTACTGCGAGAACGTTAACCAGAATAATAAAATATCTGGCAAGTACAATACTCCACACTTACGATTATACGCCGAAATTTACGTTTTCAATGAAAATTGTACTCTTTGTTCACGCTTTACCGTAGGTTACTCTTACTTATAAGACAATTTCTTTCTAGTTTCTTGTCTAAAGATGTTTGCTGAAATGTTTTGGCCAAATGCTTTTAACCTGTTACACAGTATTCCTGTAACATGTGATTCTCCGAATGAGGTTAGGGTATTAAGTAAATTCAATATCGTATTGATCAAGAAAGAATGTCTGAAGTTCTACTCTTTTTTTCTGTAGAAGCTGATATACAAGATTGTGTGTCACTTATGCAAACTTAATCGTAAGTTCTGAACTTATACCAAATGATCGAATGCAACTTTAGTAATAATTATTATATTTCTCACATAAAAAGTTATACCAGAAAATATTCGTGATGTCTTGCATGAAATAATAACAAATCTACTGCATCGTGAAGACTTTATCTGGAATAAGTACAATTATTCTCGATAGAGTAGAGACTTAATTCAATGTTTACTCTGTTTTAGTAACCATAAGAATAATTATGATCTAGATACCAGCTACTTATACTTGCAACCGTAACGGCAAAGTTGGATAGAGAAACTGAATTATACTTCATCACGGCCTGCTTTAAAGGTTTGCAAAAATTATTGGATCAAAAAGGTAAAATATCCTAGTAAATACATCGAATTCTATTTGTTTATATCAGTCGATACTGTTTAACATTCTGGTCATCAATATCTGCTTAGTAGACGAAAACCAAATTACTCTAATGAGTCAGTATTCAAGCATCGTCCAAGCTAAACTAACGGAGGTTTGTAACTATTCGAATAATTTACTACAATAATTAAATGTTTTCTAAGGTGCGTATATAATCCCTTAGATGCCTTTATTTTGCAGAGTTTATGTCAAAGTTCTACACTTGAAATCGATTTTTGGAAAAATTTTGTTGATGCCATTTGCATGTACGTGATGTACCTTAAATTCGTATATCATCATCGCAACATTCAGCAATATTCGTATTTAGAAGCTCTTCAATAATACACTAAATATATTTTCTCATATCCGCAGGAAAGACACTTTCTTCAAACCTACCATAGATACCTTAGTTACAAGTATAGATATCATTTCCAAGATAAAGCCGCAAGATATCTCCGAACAACTTACAGTATTGTATCGACACTTCATGGTATTGATCTCAACTCATAATAGTTTGCTACCACTGTTTGCGACAGAAAAAAGTAAATCAGCTATCATGCTCCGTTACTAGCATTTTTGTAACTGTTCGATGATCATTATGTAGAATAAATACGCAATATTGGACTGTACTATAAGAAACAAAAATTTTTATTATGTAACGGGTTTGCCTCAGAAACAATTATTTCCCCTTCATAGATGTTACCGAAGATGATGAATGTTCGATATTGCAATTGCTTATCACCATTGAAAATTTGTCATCCGGAAGCTGCTGCGAACAAGATGATCTGGTACCGCTGCTGTGTATTTATACAGCCACATTAAAGAGGAAAGGTATGTTTAGTCCATACGTAATTCCGTACTACATATTACTATGGTATTGCTGTGCTAATAATTAGCGTACTTCGATTATCGTAATTTAGATCAACAAACACTGTATCTCCTACAGAAATACGAATCGAATGATTTTCCGATAGCTAATGTTTGGTATGAATTATTAATTATCAATGCTTCAGTCATAACATAATTTAAGTAATGAGAAATTATTGTAATACTTTGATGCTTAAATCTCCGGTCTTTAAGTTCACCTATAATTTGGGGCCCTGCTGCTAAAGAATACTTTAAAAATCGAAGTAAATCTGCTAGCTTTCAAACTCTCTGGGAACAACCTAGTATGCAGGAAATTTTATCAATTCTAGATCGTAAACAAATGAGAAAAAGTATCATTAATTTTCCTTTATCTCGCAATTTAAAGGTACATATGTTAAACTACTTGCGTTGTAATAAGCTGCGTGCAATATTCCTGTAGAGCATTCATGAAATAATACAGAATGTTGTTAATGTCATTGCAGGCGAAAATAGCACATTGGACATCATATTCCGACGATCCTACTCTATATGATCCTTGTTTCCTGTTACCACTCTTTTGTGGCCTGCTTCAACCAGGTACCGGCTTGAATGTAAAATACAATATCATGCTAAAGTCCCTGCAGTTTGCTTAATTTCTATATCTGTGAACATTAGGTTGTGTTGTTGACTGTCATCAATTCCTGGAAAGAGATTGTTTATGCTATTCTGCAGCTGCTCTTACCTCTGACGAAGATGATATTCGTGCCATGGGTTACTACATTTTAAGCACGTTTGAGTCAGTTGCCGCTGATAGTAGATTTCGCGAAAAAACTCAGGTTGACGGAGTCTGATATCAATACGCATGTTGTAATGCTACGCACTTAGTACCACTGATTAATTATTATTGATATTCGATTTAGATTTTCATGGTACTAGACACCTTAAAGAACAGTATCACTAGCCCAAACTACAAGCTAGCCGGCATTACAGTCAATTTAATTGCATGTTACGTCGATGTTGTCCTTCATCCCGGTAATATCGGTGCACCTAACTAAAAATATAATTTTATCAGGTTATTATCTCTGATGCGTCTACAATATTGTTGATCTAGAGGATAAAATGTATCTAGTGCTCAACGAATATCTTCTGAAGAAACCAACTTTAAATCTTCGTTCGTTACATCTGTTTCAAGGCCTGTTTACAAGCCCTAATGAGAAGGTTAGCAGTCTTCCATGATAGACCATCTAAAATTGATCTCTTAAAATGACCTTGCAAAAAATAATGTTATAGGAGCGATCATGGGCATTGAATCTCTTGAAAAATAGTTTTCGAAGAATTGAAGACTACAGCCTATACATAAAGGAAGAAATTACTCTATCTTTATTATGTTATTACAATTCCTTCTCTTGTGATACAGAGTCTCAGGTAGTCTTGTGCTCTTAAGAATCTGATAGAAATTGTTTTTTATGACCTCAAAAATTTTATTCGGTCCGTATAGGATGCTATCTTCCAGATTTTTTATAATGCTTGCAAAATACCCAGTATAGCAGTATCTTTATTAAAACATTACGGTTTCATAAATTGGATCCATATTCTGCTTCATGATAAGCGGTAAGAATAATATTAATGGTGGTGTTTATATATAGAGCCCAAATATCTATACATCTTAACTTTGATTTATTAAACGTTCATTTCTAGGCGTGACTCGACTATTAGAACGAATCATGCTTTGAATATTCTTCTACAGTTATGGACAGCTGCTAAAAATTTGAGCGATGTACGCGTGGTAAATGATATTGCAAACCAAGTTTTCCCTTTGTGTCTAATTGTGATGAAATATTTCAGGTACTGCGAAATTATATTCACTAGCACGATATTATCTTGTCTTGGTTTTAATTTGTTCAAATTTTAACATTCTTTAGTAAAAAGTGCCCCTCCGAAAGTCAAATAAATTGCTTAATTGGTCTCCTAGACTCGCTTACCAACTACTTTGCAAGGAACACCGAACCTCTGTGCTATGCAAGCGAAATTTTAAATCATTCGCCTAGTTATTTTTTGCTGTTACTGGGGTCACTCATAGTTCAAGTCAAGGACAACTTTTATAGCAATAACTCTAACTTAGGCTCTACTAGCGGTTTAAAATTTCAGATAAGTAAATTTCTTCAATTAGGTGTTATGAATGATAAAAATACCTCTACAGAATTATCTTTACAACGATTAAGCCAAAAGAGAAACTCACAAACAATGAAAGAGCATATAGATGCTGAATGGCATTTAAAAATCGTAAATATTATCATCCGTTGCAAATTTACTAATAATACTTTACGTCCTTTAAGTGAATCATTACCTTGCACTAACCATACTAGCGGAAATAGTAATTCTGATGGAACTGTGCAAAACAACACAGA